GATACTTATTTATAATTAATAATTGATATTAATGAGGGTTATAATTGAAAAAAAGTAACAAAAGTTACTCCCACTACATTTCAATAAGCTAGCTTAACTAATATCCATCCAAATATATACTCAAAAAATAAATTAGCTTATGTTTGCCAAACAATACATAAACCACTATCAAACAGTCATGTATAGCTAACCAGATAAACCATAACTCCCGTTAAGTTGCTGACAAACTCTAAGGGGTTGTTTGTTTACCTCTTAATAGTTCAATTAAGAGGCAACATCTGAATCATTAAGAGGTGAATCTTGTTTGGCGAAAAAAAGTCTGCATACTAATGATTTTAAAACTCTCTGAATGATTTTGTATCATGAGCCTCCCTTAACCATTAAACATCCTGATTTCATTGTAAACAATTATATTTCATTTTGCACTATATCATAAAAGTCTCTCAATCATTCTGACCATTTAATCATTATGTACCAAATCATTCAACAACTGCCAAATAACCCCAAAGATGTTAATTAATTCATGGTGTTCAAAATGTAAATGATCAAACAAGCAGTTTGTCTCTTAGGAAGTTGATTATGTAAAACTGCATATGCTTGCATCCTGTTCGATAAAATGTCTTAATGACATGAGCTTTTGCATTGCAGGTTTATAAGATTATAAATTGCAGCATCGCGAATCGATCGTGTGCTGAAATGGAACTTAACTTGAAGAGAATAAAACCGCGATTCAAATACAATAACTAACAACAGCTTATAATAATCGTACACAAAACTCAACTACATCGATTTGCTCTCTCTATCATAGAAGCTCAAAAACCCTTTATGCTCTTACTAGAAGAAGACGACTTGAAATGCTGTGATTATTGTAACGGCAATAAATTCTTACACGCTAATGTTCTCAATGGGCGATGTTTTGTCCATTCTCTTCACAATCCCAGCAATAACCTAATTTTACATTCAAATTGGTGGATGTTTGTTAAGAAACACAGTTAAAGATAGAAAGAAGCATACAACGAGAAGGGTTTTCGTGTAACTAGATCAGGGCAAAATGCGTAAAAATACAGCAAAGCTTGGTTTATATTCTATTTAGCACAACGATGATATAACAAAGTTTCAATGTTTCTTATTTTGTACCTATTTTGACCGATAACTTGTTGATGTTGTAACATTTGATGACATGGATACTCGTTTATAAAAGAGTTACAATAAACTTGACATCCATGTCATCAACAAGATCAGCAAGTTACCAGTCAAAATGGATAATATTTTTTGTTAAATTAAATAGGAATTAAGGAAATTTCGTTCAATTTTGATACATTTTGTCCATTAGGATGCAATTTAACAATAGGCCGGATTCTACCTTTCCAGGTCCAAGTTCATAACTCTTTTCCAGTCCCCTTGATAGAAGAGTCTTCACCGTCGTCTCCCATTGAACGGGTGATGTAACCTGCGACGATAATTATTACACATTTTAATTAACTACATGACAATTTTACCCTTAATAATAGAGGGAGTAATGAGTTTCTTCATTCATGATGAATAACATGATACAATATTCATGATGAATAACATGATACAATATTCATGATGAATAACATGATAAAAGATTCATGATGAATGTTGTGGCAGATATTCATGATGCATATTATTCATCATGAATACTCACAAAAAGGGTGGTTTTGGGTTCCTAATGTATTTAAGGTTCCCAGATGAACTTGCCTCTGTCTAGATATAATGTATCTATTTACATGCTGATATCATCGCAAACATAGGTTTATAGTGGGAAAGCAAAAACATTAGCGGCTAACCTGACAAGCCAAGATTTTCTTGATTGTTTCGGGGTCTGCATGTGGTTGTGCATCAACATTAGATATAACTGGTATTCTTGGAGTTCTGATTTGGGTTGATGCCAATGCGGACTCCAGTTTGGACACAGCCGGATTCATGAATCTGGTGTGGAAGGCCCCACCAACAGCAAGGCGCACCTACGAAAGAAAAAGACAAGTATTTAACCAAATGTTGCTAGAAAATAGAACCCAGAATCAGTTTTCCATCCGTCCTAAAATAAGTGTCCATATATTTTAGTTTGTCCTGGTACAAGTGTGTGACTACTTCCCAATTCTACCCTTAATTATGAGATGAAGAAATTCATTACTCCCTCTATGATTATGGGTAATATTGTCAGTTCACATTTCTATAATTGTATGCCCTTTTTTTCATTGTGACATTTATTTTGGGACGAAGGGAGTAGTTGACGATTAAAAGGTGGGGAATTACCGTCATTCGAGCCTTGAATGATTTTGCTTTCGCTTCCACAGCTTCAATTCCTTTCACGCCTCCAGAGACTGCGTAGTTTCCCTGCACAGTAGAACAGGATATGAGTGGACATTTGAAAAAAAGGAAGTACGATTTCGAGTTTTGAGGTCAAATATATTAATTGTCCGATTCAAAGTTCATATGGGTTCTGTAACAAGTTCAACGAACTTTTCTAGTAAATGGTAGTAATTGCTACAAAACTTTTCAAGTGTTATCAAGTTTTTCTTGTAATATTTGGCTCCAAAGCCAAATTATATCGAAAAATTGTCTAAAATAGCCATTTTTGAACCAAGCCCCCCCCCCCCCCAAATTCACTTTATAACCGCTTTTCTACATAATTGACCGAAATAGCCAAGATTTCGCAWGTRGCACTYTARCAACTYGYGAAATCCACTTTTTATGAATATAATATTCATAAAGGAGCAATTTCGCAAGTTACTAAAGTGCTAGGTGCAAAATGCTGACGTGAAAATGCCACTTGCGCAACTTGATAAAGTGCTACTAAAGTCGTTAAACTATTACTTACCCAACTTGCTAAAGTGCTACTTGCCATGTCAGCATTTTGCAAGTAGCACTTAGCAACTTGCTAAAAGGTTACTTTATGAATATTAAATTCATAAAAAGTCGATTTTGCAAGTTGCTAAAGTGCTACTTGTGAAATCTTGGCTATTTTGGTCGATTGAGTAAAAAAGCGGCAATAAAATGAATTGGGGAGTCTGAAATTCTGGACAATTTCCCCACTTATATCTTTTTTTCCAAACAAAAGAAGCATGCTTTATACGATATAGGGGTAAAATAGTAATTTAGGTGAGCATTACAGTGCATAAGAAATTCGCTATTTGAACTTTCTCGGCTTCCTCAACTTCTTCATTTGCTGCATCACAGAGTTGTTGCACCTTATCAGAATCTAGTCCGATGATGCTAACCATAGCACCTTTAGCGGCATCCGCAGCTTCCTGAGGATTACAATACCACAAATATTTGAATCTTTTAAGAAGCCCTGAAGATAACAAGAAAAATCCCCGGTGGCCAGTGGCGGATCCAGAAATCTTGGAGATGGGAGTCAGGATTTAAGTAACATAATATAAAATATAATAAATAATTTTTCTTGGTGGTAATGTAGAGTCAAACTTTATACTTTTGAGGGTCAAAAGAGGTATTAGAAAAACAAAATCTTGAAACTTTATGGGTGTCAAGTGACCCCCCAAGCTAATGAATATATCCGCCCCTGCCAGTGGCCCTGAGGAGACTCGGACTAGCGACCTGTGGGGAATAGCCCCAAGGTCTGGCCTTTATTTGCCGGTTTTCTTATAATGGCATATGACAATATCCTTCGTTCACTTACCTGCATTGCTTCACCTCTCAGTTTAACCAGCTTGAGACCATCCTCGAAGCTAATGATAATTAAGAAATATATACATTGTAAGGAGAAAAGGGGTGACACGAAATAAGATGAAAATAAAGAAAGATCATGTGACACAAAGATATATAAAATACCAATATGAACCTAGCAAACGGATGAATGATGATGAATTGTTTAGGGAACTTTAATAAGCTTGTGATTGTAATTTGTGAAGTCATGAAATTGGCAATAATTTTCATCTTGGGATGTCTATGAAAATCGAAAGCCCATTTCTTAACAAAGTTTGATTAAGTTCCTATTTAGTGTAACGAAGAAACTTTTTTTCCCAGTCGATGTAACAAATTATAAAATTTTCCTATTCTGATCGGTAACCTACTGATCTTGTAATATCTGATGATGTGGATATCTTTTACAAAAGCATTACAGCAAAGTGGACGATAAACTTGATATCCACATCATCAAATGTTATAAGATCAGCAGGTTACGGGCCAAATGGGAAAACGAATAGGAAATTTTGAAACTTTTACATTGGTTGATAAGTACATTATTTATACACAACAAAACTCACAGTACTCCTCATCTTTGGTGAGGTTTAAACCTTTGACCTCCAGGGAGGTAGTACAGGTAACCCAGGTACCGCTAGGTTAATGACCCTTTGGTGGAAAAAGAAAATCTTTGTTACACTAAATAGGAGCTAAGACAAAATTCTTTAATTTTGATGCATTTTGCCCTTTTTTTCGTTATCGACGGGTGTTTTAGACATTTGTAATGGTTAAATATTTCTTTTAAACAAAATTTAGCGCCAAAAGTTGCATTTTTCATGGGACGTTAATCAAACAAATATAGGAAAATCTGTCAACAAGACATTGCTAACTAATAAGTAATAGTAATAGTGGAATTTAATGTTTTATTTAATTGGATGGCTTACCTAAATGCTCCAGCAAATGCAAGAGCTGTGTATTCTCCCAAGCTTAGCCCACATGTAACGTCCACAGAATCAATTATCTGTTGACCTCCATCACGGGCACGTAGTATCTCTACTGCAGCTAGACTAGTAACATAGATGGCTGGCTGCAAAATTACAGAATGATATACCAATAAGAGAAGTCTACGTTTTAGGGTGCGTTTAACACGCAAACAGGGACTGGACGTGCGAGAGTGAGGTAAGGGTACAAGAATTGTCAAAGGTTTTATGGTTTTAATTTGACATGGGTAGTTTAGTAATGTACCAATCTTGTCTCTTCTTCCTAATGTTTGTTCCACTTGTTTTGGTGGGGCAAAAAAAAAAAGCAATCCGGCTTGTCCTATCCCAGTCTAATGTCACGCCAAACTAGGACAGCAAGTTTTTGTTTTTTCCTATCCTGTCATGCGTACCAAACGCACCCTAAAAGATTATTCATCATAAGAGGGCCGGGTTCATTTAGAAACCTTAAATATTTTAGGAACCAAGCAACCACCTATTTTCTAAGTATCAAGATGAATATCATTCATCATGAATATTTTATCACGTTATTCATCATGAATATTTTATCACGTTATTCATCATGAATATTTTATCACGTTATTCATCATGAATACTCACAAAAAGGGTGGTTCCTAGGTTCCTAAATGAACCACCCTCTATCAATCGGAATAACTAAAACCTACTACCCCTTAACCATGTATAAGAAGCATCCGTTACTTGCACACTAGTTTGCCATCTTTTGAATATAGTAAACCAAAAGAGAAAATACTATGGAAACTTGCCTGACTTAAAACAGTGGAATCCAACTTTTCTTTTGGGCCGTTAATGCAAACATCCAAAATGTCAAACCTTCATGCAAAGATAATTATTGGTTTGAAATCAGCGACGACAATTATTTTACTGAAATGTAGAATAACTGATGAGAAACAGGTGATTTAAGCTGATCTAAAGCATTTATCATATTTTGACAAAGAAATTATCATGCGCACCCTAAAATTTCATTTGCCTTGTTGTACAACTGTGCAGCAGCTGGCACCTTTTGAGCTTCCTGTCCCATTCCAACAGCTTGTGCACCCTGAAACAAAATTATGAGAAAACCTCGAACTTTACAAGTATAAAACAAAAGCATGTAATTTGAAAGAGAAAATTTGATTAAAAATGTAATATGAAACATGATTTTGTTCGATACAGTGGACAAGACAGAACAAAAAAGGGATCACTGTTCCATGTTTGGCATGAGTTTTATGTGGAACAGAGGAAAAAAGTGGAACAGGCGTGTTCCACCCCCATCCCATGGAACAAAGTAGAAAAAGCCTATATTTTACTTGTAAATCCTCAAAATAAAACCTCATTCCCTTCTAAAACATCAAATACGCTTCCCTAATCCATTCTTTAAATTTTATTTATCGTAATTTATCTTCTTTAAACTTTCACTTTATTGTACTCAAAATACTATTTTTTATACATTTTCTCTATTTTGGTTAATTTATGAAATTTATTAAATATAAGTAATAAAAACATAATATAGAAAAGGTAAAAATAAAAATTGGAAATTACATAAACTTCATATTTTGGTGTCGTTTTAATCGTCTTGACGAAAACTTTATAATGATATATTTTGCTACAAAAGATAATTATTTTATTATAATTTTTAATAAATTACATAAATTAATCAAAAAACTGGTCATTTTATCGGTCCTTCCTGTCATGTCCTGTTTTGTCTTGTCATGTCCTATCAAGGTACCAAACGCACCGGAAGCATGTGTTTGGTAATGCGGACAGGATTGGACGAGAGAGAGGTATGCGGGTGAAAGAATTCTGGAAGGTATTAGGGTTTTAATTATACATAGTAAGTTACCAATTTTGTCACATCTCCCCTGATTTTTGTTTCACTTATTTTGGGGGGACAAAAAAATGTATTTTCCGACTAGAGTCCTGTCTTGTACGAGTCTAATGTCACGCCAAACGTGGGAGATACAAGTTGCTGTACTCTCTTGTTCTGCGTACAGAACACACCCTAATAGCCAAGCTATCGTTTATTAGCAAATCCCGACACATGCTCCTTTCAACGATATATTATGGTTTTTGAATTCTACAGAAGCATATGATCCATCATTTCTGCACCAAACAATATTCACCGCACAAAAGACAGCTTAAAAGCTACATGATTCTCGATCCATCCCAAAAAAGAGTCTACATTCGACCCTTGAGGGTCTGATTTCAGATGTAAATTAGACAAAGATTATATCAAATTATCAACAAACAAAAACATCTCGAAACTAAAAGGCTAAAGACATCAAAATGGACTTTTCTTCGATTGAAGGAGGTATGTTTTAGCAGCTTTTTTATATGAGATTATCCTCTTGGTAATTTCGTGATACACTGGCCAAATTGAGCTATTTCACTCAGGATTTCTCTATATTTTCTGGAATTCCTCCAACGCCCCTTCAAAACACACACTTTTTTATGCATTTTGAGCTACCAATTTCTAGTGAACAAAAGTTACAGGCTACATTTCTAGTGAATTCTGTAGCTGGAGTGAAAAATATAACAACTGTACATGAATTAACAGTAATTTCCAGAGATTCTTTTAACATTTTGCATTCAACTAGATAATTAAACCAAACAGCTTAATTATAATCTAATCTAACCTGACCAGGAAAGAGGAAGGCATTGGTAGGTTTATAGTCGGCAAACAAAGCATCAGCAACTGCAGTGGTAGATCCAACCGATACGCTCATAGAAACCCTAGATTTCTCCAAATTAAGACGACGAAACCCATGTTTAAAACCCCCAAAACAAACAGAAGATGAACTCTTGGACGACAACGAATCAAGAGCATCAAAAGACACCTGATGATTCAGTGAGACCGAGGGAAGCAGTAGAGACGATGAAGCCATTGTAGGGAGGAGATTGAAACTAGAAAAGGATCTGAGAAATCGAGGAGGGTTGAATCTAAGGAGAGATTGGTGGGAAATGAGCATTCATTCAGTGATTTTGATTTTGAATATATATAGATGAAATTGCAGCGGAGATTTCAAGGGAAAAAGAGAGCCAAGATATGGGGAGGCCTGAAAAATCCTATGAAATATGCCAACTGCCAACGTTTGGATTGATGTTTTCTACATAAGTTTGAAGTTTGACACTTTACCCCCCTTTTTAAAAAACTCATTCACAACTAGGACCATCAAGATGTGTTTGTTATGCAGATTGGACTCTGACTCGACAGGATTTAAGGATTGTTTGGCAGTTGCTCTGATGCACAATTATTAAGTAGTCAGAATGATTAAGAGGTTCTTATAATATTATGCAAAATGAAATATAATTATTTAGTAATTATTCAGAATTAAATTAGGATGTTAAATGGTTAAGAGAGATCCAAGATACAAAACCATTCAAAAAGTTTTAGAATCATCAAGAGGCAGACTTTTTTTTGGCCAAACAAGATTCACCACTTAGCGATTCAGAGACTGTCTCTTAATGAAACTATTAAGAGGTAAACAAACAACTCTTTAACGAATGAGACTATGAGAATAAGGTGGGTAGTTGAAAGAATTATAGAAAGTTTTAGGGTTGTAATTCTTTTTTATTTTTTTTAGAGTAAATTATGTTTTTCGTCCCTAGGTTTGTTAAAACTTGCGATTTATGTTCTTGCGGTTTTTTTCCAATAATTTGTAATTCATTGTTATTTTTGTTATTATGATTTACAATTTATTGTTGTTTCAGTCCTTGTGGTTTACATTTATTGTTTTTTGTCCCTTGTACTTAAAACTAGAAATTAGTTCAAGGATGAAAATCGTAATTTACTCTTTTTTAAGTTGTAGTTTGACATTGGTAGCTTGGTGTATCTGTACCAATTTTTCTATGAGGTGGATAAATTTGTTTGTCTAGATGAATCGACAGTGTTCACTTTTTCATCTGAATAAATAATCTGAATGACAAAAATAGCCTATTTATCTCTCGGTATCAATTATGTGAAGTTGTGATTCATCAATCGATTTCATACCTAAAACAAAGTGCTGAATGATTAAGCAATCAGAATTATTAAGAGGCTCTCATGATATAATGCAAAATGAAATATAATTGTTTTGTAATTGTGTACAATGAAATTAGGGCTCTTAATGGTTAAGGGAAATCCATGATACAAAATCATTCAGAAGGTTTTAGAACCATTAAAAGGCAGATTTTTTTTTGCCAAACAAGATTCACCTCTTAATGATTCAGATGTTGCATCTTAATGGAACTACTAAAATATAAACAAACAACCCCTAAGGTGTATTTTGGGATATAGCATTAGTAAAAAGTACAGGTATATTGGAGCATCTCTAACAGATTCTCTAAAATGGAGAACCAACGTTCAAAATCTCTAAAAAAATTGTATTCAATTCCAACAGATTCTTTATTTTAGATATTACATCATTAATTATATCACATCGTTTCATTACAAAGTACGTGAAAAGTCGTCAAAATGTCAAAAATAAGCACCTTTGTTAATAAATGTCCGTCGTAAAAGGTGGTCCTAAAGGACAGCCTAGAAAAAATTCACTAAGATCAACATGCCCACATCAATTGAAATTAAGATGCACGTCATTAAAGGGCTATTTATTAAAAGCTTATCTGATAAGCATTTATAGGGTGTCATTTAACTTATCGGGTGAGCATGGCAAGAACCAAAAATTTTACCTGGTAAGCGCTAATATTAGGATGATAACTCTTGTCTCTAAGCGTTTATCTGTTAAGCATTTGATAAACAGCTCTTAACTTTATTGTTAAATGAGCTTTATTACCACTCTCTCTGTCCAAAATAAGTATCTGCATTTTTATTTTTATTTATCTCAAATTAAGTGTCCACCGTTAAAAGCAAATTACTGCTTTACCCTTATGAGATGGAGAAATTCAATTACTCCATCTATCATTAACAATAAAGTTATCATTTAGTTAATTAAAAAAGTAATAATTACACATTTCTAAAATTGCGTCTTTCTCATCGTGGTCGTTTATTTTGGGACGGATGGAGGAATAGTTTCTATAATCATGCGTGTCTATGCTATGTAGTGACTAGCGAGCACCTTAATTATTTCATGAGGGCTTAAAGTTAACAGTCAAACAAACCCTCCAGTGGCCTTAACTGCACCTGAAAGGGTGACATTTGAGAAGCAATACCAAGGTCTTACCGAGAACAACAACTACGCTCAATATTCAAACCTTTGACCCTGTCATTCTGGCGTTTTTTGTGACAAAACTGGGGAGATGGTTGTCACAACCTTCAAATGACATGACTTTACATAGTTTTTTTTATTATTAACCTGGATATCTAACCCGCTATGCGAGCCGACTAATCTCAGAGTCACCACCTGCTTTGCAGATAGCCCGGAGTCACCGCATTTGAAGCGGCCTCAAGGAGATTTTTATTCCTCCTTGGATTTGAACCTGGGACCTCCAACATAACCGTGTAAAAAGGTCACGTTTTGCATGGTGCAACGAAACAACCATGTCAAAAGCTCCTGCATCTGGCATAAAATCTTGAAAAACACTAAAATATTTGTTTGTAAATCAACCAAACAAGTTTTATTCCATAAGAGCCTATTATTCTGAAACTCCACCCCCTCTCTGTTAGAACATTTCAGTGAAAGACATAATAAATAACCATATGGTTTATATACATAGACCCCCAATATAAACACTAAAATTTTATTGCAAGTGGCTTTGCATTCTATTCTAAGATATACCAACTTTTGTGCCATGACTTCCAAGCCCAATGAATACTCAAATCGCCCGTGGCCTGGGCGCCTTGCCTTAGAGGACCAAGATCATATTATGGTTTCAACTTCAAGAGATTGCCCTGCGGATAAGTCACCGAGTGTGCTCAAATGTTAGATACTGAAACGATGGTTTTAGCATTTTTAGTTGCTACTCTTCAAGAAAGCTATTTTCGGTTGATATAATGACATGTTAAAAGAACTAAATGCATGCGTACATGCGAATATGATGATATATGCGTGGTGCGACGTATAAGAAAATATACATATGAAGTATGAACATTAAAACAATGCCAAGGTATGACAATACTCCTTATGGACGTAGAATATCAATTTTTTTGCATTTTGGAAATGGTGTTTTTTGTAGCCATAGGCCTTTTTGCGACCTCTACTTATCCCATGGGGACCTAAGATAACAGCCAGAAAAATCGCGGTGGTCTTGATGAGACTCTAGCTGGCAACCTACGGGAGAAACCTAAAGGCGGACCCATAAATTTTTTCAAGTAGTGGCACAATTTGACTATAAAAAATATATAATACTTTTTTCACAATATTAATATAGATCTGTTGATTGGTTCTTTGTCCTTGCATAGAAAATACCAATCTTCGAGTCTGGTCTACATATATTTTAAAGGGCAAATTGCATGAAAAAGTAACATACTTTAACTTGATTCCTATTTTGGGTAACATACTTTTAAAACTTCTATTTTGGTACCTAAGATGTAAAGTTTTAAACATTTAAGCACCCGGGTAACTGGTTGAAGTATTAACCGATTATCATGCTGATGTGGCGAGTGATGTGGTATCCAACTTGGTATTATTTGCTGACGTGGTGTGACGTGGATTTTTTTAAATCTAAAATTAGTCTTTTTTTTAGTCTAAAATTAGTCTTCACCGAGTTGCCCAGGTACTTAAATGTTTAAACCTTTACATCTTAGGTACCAAAATGAAAGTTTTGAAAGTACGTTACCCAAAATAGGAATCAAGTTAAAGTACGTTACTTTTTCATGCAATTTCCCTATTTTAAAAACATAAGAGGTATATAAAAAACAACAAATTGACAACAGTGAGACTCGAACCTGAAGGCAGAAGCATTTATCAATCTTAGCAAGTCTTGTGTTAATATTTTTAGTTTCAAAACTATATGGTGGCACCCAACAAAACAATACGGTGGCACCCTTCAGAAATGTAATTTTTTTCCCTTTACGACGGAACCATGAAAAGATGGCCCGTGCCACCGTATCTATCCATGTGGGTACACCCCTGGAAGAACACCAAGGCCTGACCTGTATTTGCCGGTTGAGCTAACCCCCAAGGTTAATGGTCTTTGCCTTTGTTTGTTGTCAACACTAAGAGCATGTTTACTAAAAGTTTTGGACTAACGGGCATTTACCAAACGCTTACTGGCAAGAGTCGCCACTTTCTATTACCTTACCAATCATCAAAATGGATTAATGGTAAGCATTTATAACCTGGTAAGTGCTTACAATGTAAGAGTCATCATCCTCACTTACTAGATAAGACTCTTGATCCTTGTCTTCCCCTTTACCAGGTAAGATTCTCAGCCCTTGTTATGTTCACCCGATAAAGTAATTGAACCAGTAAGCGCTTACCAAGGTAAGTGTTTAGGAACGGCCCTTAAGTGTTGACTCAGGTAAGAGGTTTTACACAAGTGCCGACTAGAAGTTGTTGTTTACCAAATGTTTTTTTATAAAGCAGTGACTGAATAAAAGTGACCATTATACCCTATGTCTAAAGTAAGTGCTAAATGAAAATTGTTGTTTACCAAATGTTTTGTCTTAAATGCCGACTGAAAATTGCTGTTTACCGAAGGATCATAATGGCATCATACCTAGACCTCATTGATGCAATGCAACATGCTTGTATGAAGAGAAGCTTAGAATTGTACCTTGTGAAGTTGTGATCATTTACATTTAACCAATTGCTTGAAGGGTATTTTAATTTCTTAGGCATTTGACTAATGGTCAAACACTTCTATTCAACTATGTGTACAACAAGTAAGATATTTGAAAGAAGCTTTTAATGGTACCTTGCGGTTATTTACAGAAAATCAGCAGCCTGAAGTTCACTGAATGTGTCTGATTCGCTCCTTATTACCCTCGTTTTATCGCCTCTTATTTCTAGAACCTGGTGAATTCGGTATCATATCAAATGTTTTCATCATTACGTAAAACATGTTTATCTTGATACATGTGTAGATTACATGAAAGACATCATGTAAAAAAGACGAGGCTTTACCTCAGGCCTTGAATCATGAACTCCACTAGACATCCCCACATCAACGCGCCAAATGCTACAGTTATATTTACTGCATGCCATAAAAAATATTCTTTGAAATTAACATTGAAACATGGGTTATAATCTATGAAAATATTGGTCACTTGCTCCCACCATGCCATAAAACTTGCACTTTGATTCGACATGTTATTAGATATTTGATTATAGATCAATTTCTAAAATAACTTCCGATAAAGACAAATAAAGGATCTTGTGAACCCAACTCAATACTATCAATTTATTTGTAATGATGATAACTGGAAATCAGCAAATAATGATGATTGCTTACCAATTCACTCCTGTAGTTTGTGGAGTATGTCCCACCACCATTGCTTTTGCGCCAACTACTTGAAGAGTACTGTCGAGAATAGATTGAATCTGTGGAACAAACGTGTTTTATTTGAAGAAAATGATAGTGAATACATAATATCAATAATTCTGGATTCATGAGTTCGTTTATGTTGGCTGAAATTTGGGGAACAAAAAAGGGAATGGGAATATATCACGTAACCAAGTCTGCTCACCTGTTCAATGTGATAGTCTTCTAAATCAGAGGTATCTCTAGAGTAAAGACGATTCCACACAACGCTATCGTATCCTCTAGTAGCTATGAAAGGTATTTGTGACTCGTTGTCAGCTTCGTCAACGTTCGTCATCCACTTAGATACCTCTTTGTTTATCTTCTCTATGCCATAGGTAACTGCAGTATGACAAAAAAAAATCAGCATTCTCCCCTAAAAAATAATAACCACATTGTCCCAAAATAAATGCAACATTTCCACTTTAAACTAACTTCCAATCTGAAGTTACATATTTGCGCATTAGCCGTTATTGCAAGATATTGATGGGATTTGGTTAAGTCTACGCGATTCTCCTGAATTGTCATTATTGAGGTGTACTATATTTAGTAATAGTCAAAGCACTCCAGTTAGCCGTTGCATTTATTTTGGGATTATGGAGGCGTACTATATTTAGTAATAGTCAAAGCCAGTTAACCGTTGCATTTATTTTGGGACACAGAAAAAACTGGAAAAGAAATGCTTACAAGAGAAACTTGAGCTTGTGAAATACAATAGCTACATCTTTTATAAGAGTGCTTACCATGGTGGGGAAGAAGTCCGCCATGACAGAAGACCCAATCGTCAACTTTAAGAACAACAGGATGTCGCGCCAATTCAGATGCCAACGGACCCCCAGGTCTTAAAAGGACCGACCTTGCAATTACTCCCTTTTGCCGCTGTCCTAATTTTTGGATAAGTCAATCAGAATCCCATCACTTTGTGTTAGAAATGAGAAAGGAGATGCAATATTACCAATGCCATCATGATCATCACAAAGAAAACGTTGCAGAAGTAAGTTTAACACAAAGCTAGCCCAAATTTCCATGAATTGCATACCTTTACCAGGTTCCACGGTCCCCAAGAACTCTCTGACATTTTACGTTCACCTTTCCAACTTCCAGATACTTCAGCCCAACTTGAAAAAGCATCTTCCCAGTTATGTCCACAATCATCCAAGTATTCTAGGAAGTCTGAACACTCATCAAATGCGCCAGAATCGACATATCTAAAATCCCCTTCAACATTCATGGTTTCATGATTTCCATTCACCTAACATTATCAAGCGGAAATATAAGATCAACTAATGATGCTATTAAGCTTCCTCCCTCTGTTCCCACAAAAGGATACGAAATTTCACTTTTATAGTCAAACAGACTGCCTTCCAAATTTAACAATGCCATGAACACTTGTACCAAGTTTGAGAATACATTAAATTCCTAATTATATAATAAGTTCTACAAGATGAAAAAACACATTCATACCAATATTAAATATGAAAAGCGGTCCATTTGACTGTAAAGTGAACGCCTACATTGCCTTCTGGAAGAGACAGCATGTTATGTTATTTTAGCAGAGCTGTTCCTCTAAATCACATAACTAAAATAAAGGCCCTATGACCGAATGTATAGGTTCTTGTAAACCCACCTGAAAAACAGCCCCACCATGCTCTTTAGCCTGGATTTGCAGTGATCTCAATAAAGATAATATAGCAATTTCATCTTCACCCCTGTCGAGAATATCTCCAAGCTGAACCAAGACCTGGTTAAAGGGTAAATATGTAAAAAATTGTATCACTTACAATCCTTTATGTATTGCTCAAAGTGTTGGAAAGTAACCCCACTACAATAGGACTTGCTAATCTCACGTAGCATGGGTGTCAAGTACGTAATCATTATGAATAAATAGGGAATACCGTTTCTTGGCCAGTCCACGTGTCTCGACCATCTGAACTCAAGACACCAGCCAACTCAAGGGCACATCTTGCTTTGGCGAGGTCCCCGTGCAAATCCCCAACTAAAAGAATTGATTTCATGAGCCAATATAATGAGTACAATATAAAAGAAATGTGGGAGATATGTCATAAACACACATGAAATGACTGAACTAATAGTGCATGATAGCTGTAACCTAGAGGAATAACATACTTAATCCTTTATAAAATCATAATTAATAGAACTAGGATTAGTTGCAGTACTTATATTTTATTGAGGAGACTTGAAATGAGGCTGCTCTATTTGACAAATAATTCAAAAACCAAGTAATATGTTCAAAAGTGGAGTAAGCCAAAACACAAAGTCTTAAAAAGAACCAAAGGTGAGTAACAAAGAATGTAATCAAGAAGACAAGAATATATACTTCAAATAAGATGTTATAAGCTTTTGAAATAATCAAGAAAAGCTATAAGATACACTGGTGACCTCACAACTAGAATCTACTTCCCAAAAACCGTACAGATCAAGGATACATGTAACTATGAAGGGTATAACTAAATGCATCATGTTATCTTACATAAAGCTGGATTCCTTTTGGAATGAAAAAATATTGGTGTCAAAATGGATGGAGTTGATCTTTAACAAACTGAGATTGCAAAGAACAGTAGCATCATGTGCACCCCAATAGTAACTATTATTATATGATGGTTCATGGTTATACTGCAGGTAATGTGGCATGTGGCCCATAAAGCAAATCAATGGAATAACTTCTCTTTCATTCCAATTTTTCTTATTAAAGCTATAACCTTAAAAACAGAGCTTTCAACTATAAGTAGAACACCTCATCATTAGAAGCCAAAAAATTTCTCATAAAATATTCCAATTTCCAAGAATTATATCCAACTGGGCTTGTCCACGTAGTGGTCGGATTCTCGGGATAATTTAGAAGTCTTTAGTTCAAATCAAACTCTTGGTGTGTCCACTGAATTACGAGGGTGTGTCAACAGTCAACCCTCGTGTGAGGTTTCCCAAATCCTTTAAAAAATATTCCAACAATTACTTCCTGAAATAGGATGCTACATTGGTAGTACAGTTTATCAAAATTCATAGTCATTGACTACTTAGGCTGGTCAGCCCACCTTAAATCTTTGAGCTTCTACATCCATAGCAATTGACCAAAACTCAAAAACCTTCTCGTTATAATGTTAGACATGTTTCTTTTTTAATTTGCACAAGTTCAAATTCAAAATGCTAACTTTAGTAACTGATATTCTTAAAAACAATAGATATTATCATTATGATTATCATCATCATCATTGTCATTATCAATAACTTGGCTGTGCCTTATAGAAGCAGTAATTTAGTTGCACTTAACATGTTTTATAGTAGCATAGTACTCAACCAAATCAAATTCCATTAAAATGGAGTTTCAGAATTTCAAATTCGAATTCGATATATAACTTTGGAACTGAATGCAGAAAAGAATATCATGGATCATAAATCTTTCTCCCTAAGTGAGCCGCACAAAATCCACAGAGCTCTTTAGTTTTATGAAGAAAATATCAATTTAGTGATCCTTCAACCGGTGAATTGATTAAAAACTAAAACTGAAGGTAATGAAATAATTACAACCACCATAATATCTCCATTCGGAAAAAAAATATCATAACTGGGAGAGTAATCAAATAGAAACACTTATAGATGAAATCATGAAAATCTATGTCAATTTTCAATTTAAGAACTACTACCAAATTTGAATCTCAAGAACTCGATACGTAGGGAGAAAGAATTAAACGGAATATTTAACAGTTGAGAGAGCTAACTGGCAACGATGCGGCGACCGGGAGCGGATACGAACGTCGGAGGGTTTCCGGAAATGACAATGGGTTTTAAGGTACCGGCGCCGCTGCCGTAGCTAAGAGAAGCTGATGATGGAACGTCAATTAGCTTGCGAGAATGTTGAGAAGGTGGTTGCATAGGTAAAGAATTGAGCGACAAGGAAGCCATCGCCATTTTTGGATTAGGGAGCTTGAATAACAATGGCGGATCCCGTAAACCACAGCCACGTTTTTTCGATCTCCCCTATCTTGAATTTTTCTCTTCGACGTCTTTCCTTCTCTACTTTCTGAACTTTTCACTAATCTACAATTTTGGTCCCTTAAGTTATAACTTTGTTTTTTACAGTCCCTCAAATCATTCCCAACTTCATATTTGTTTGAATATTCGGTGTTTTTTTTCCCCAACTCTTTAAAACTAACCGATAACCAACATATCGATATGTTCGAATACAATATTTCAAATTTTGTTTACATTCATTGAATTGTAAAGTTCATTTAAAAATAACTACTCATGTTTTTTTATTAACCTGGATATCTAACTAGCTATGCGAGCCGACTAATCTCATGACAACTACATGTTTTGCAGATAGTCCGGAGTCACCGCATTTGAACCTCTATGGCCACAAGGAAATTTTTATTCCTCCTTGGATTTGAACCTGAGACCTCAATGTACTTTTGACCTTTAAAGTCAAGCTCAAATCAATCAGACATCACCCTTGTGGTTAACTACTCATGTTTTACATTCAGTGTATTTTAGAAATGATCAAATCCCTTGTATCGTAAGAGTGTGATCTTTATATAACTCGTACCTTCTAATTTTATTAACATTATGCAATGACCCAACGACAAACATTGAAAGCCCGTTACTTTTATTCATGCATACTAAGCTTTTATATCATGCTGAATGACGCAGGTATCCAACTCGTTAATTTAAACACATGTGAAAATGGGTTGTAAATTATAATTGAGCTCGATTTCTTGGCCCATTGGATAATGGTCGCATGTTCACTTTCTGTCGACGGGCTTTAAAGACAAAAGGCCATATAAGAAAAGAAACGTCACAATGTTTTTTTGTCGACTTTCGTCCCTGCTTGATGGGTGAAGAAGAATACGTTTGTTTGTTTGAAAAATCCCTTCTGACCTTTTTTTTTTTATCTTTTTTATAGTCTCTACCCTTTTTTATTAATTTGTTTTTTATACTTATATGATCGTATCGATAAGTCTTTAAGTTAATTAAGTTACCGTCTCTTTGTTAGTAGCTTAATGAGGTTGATGAAACTCGTAACTTATTTCATACGATATATGTCTTTTTTATAGTGGCTATAAGTTTCTAATGAGAGTTTTATGTAGAAGCGCAAAAAAAATCAAACATGTCACTTTTATTTAAAAAACACGTTCATTTTAGCTATAAAAAAACACTTACTCAGATTTACCCGATTAACTCATTGATTTTAACTCATTATTCAATCATGTGCAAATTCATTTCTTTCCGAAAGTACACATACATCCTCGATATTTTTGGTTATGCGTTTTGTTATTTTAAATAATCGTTATATTGTCGATTTTTCATTTAATAATTTATAAAAAAATAGAAAATAAATAATTTTTTAATAAAATCTCATAAAAAGTTGAGTTATGTGATATTTTGAAAAATAATTTCTATTTTATTGAGAAAGTCTTATAATATTTATTAAAATAAAAAAATAGCTTAAAATTCTTCAATTCTTAAGAATTTTTTATTCTAAAAGTTGGAAAAATTCCACAACATATTTTTGATTTTGAGTGATTAAGTTTTTGATTAATAAATAAATTCTTCAACTTTTTTAAACGAAGTAAATATATCATTTTAATCAAAAAATGACTTTTAACTGGTTTCGATAATAAATATGCTTTTAAATTTAGGAAAATCCCAGAAAAATAAGGGGTCGTTTACTAAACACTTACCTTGGTAAGTGCTTACCGGGTTATAATATTTGCGGGGTTATCCATTTTGATGGCACAAAATGTTACTCCATAAGGCAAGTGAGAGTGGTGATCATGCGGGTAAGAGCTTACCCGATAAGCGTTTGGTAAACGGCCCTAAGTGTTTAAAAATGCATGATATGACGCAAAAATGTGTTTCTGCTGTTACAAAATGACCCATAATGTTTCTATAAGGTGTGATTCATGCCATGACGCTTTGAGGCGTTCCATGGCGCTCGTTTTTTTATAAGATGTGAGGTTTTTTTTTCTAACAAAAATTATTATTTTTAAAATTTTGTTAAATTTTGTGTTTTTACACTTTAACTACAGACTATATACTTTTATAGATTTATCTAATGACATCACTCACGGTTTCACAAAATTAATAAATGTTATGGACTCATGATCCAAATGAAATTCTTAAACTGCTTTTTTAAGTTTTATTTTAAATATCCAATCAAAAATTATTTTTATAATAATAATTTATATGGTTTTCCTTCTTTTTAATATAAATGTATATTTTTTGATATCATTTTCTAATTAAAATAATATTCAAGAACAAGAAGTTCGACCTCCTTCTAATTTTTCATTTTTTTCCGTAGAGGTGAATAGGGTCCCAAATAACGAGACATATGTAAAAAGCAGGTTTGTTGTAGATTCTTATCCAAGACTCGTGTTATTTTATTGGCTTTCTTGCTCCCGCTTCCTCATCTGCACTCCTCGGTTTTTGTTTTGGGGTAGAAAGCAAAGAGGGGAAGGATAGAAGTACTACAGTATGATAGCTAAACTATAACAAATCCTATTGAAAAAACATATATGTATATATATAATTATATATATATATATAACCTATAAATTTGTCGCTTTATTCCTTATATTGGAAAACGTTGCGTCCTAGTTGTGGCATGTAAGGCTTGAGGCTTGACCTTACGTCGCCACACCTCACGCCATTTAGAACCTTAGAAAAACACATACATTAAGTTTGGATTTTGATGTGATTTCTTGTTTGGTTCATGAAAAGTGTAGAACCCGATAGATTTGTCCACATGGATATTCCCATATGTTCAAGATCAGGGTCGTCTCTTAACATGTTAAATGTGAGATTTTGAACAGGTCCTTTAAGATTTTGGGGCCCAATTTTACAGGCATTTTCATCAATTTGTGTAAAGTTATAGCCCAAATTGCTTAGGTTCAAATTGTTAATTGTTTAGGTTTAGATATAAAGTATTAATGGTTTAGGTTTAGGTTAGGTTCAGATTGTTGATCGTTTAGGATTAGTGTCCTATTGTGCTTAACAAATATATATGCTATTATATCTTATGCAAAGCCATTAAAAATTTAGATGTAACAGGGCTTTCAAAAATATTGGAACGTCCTTATTCAAGACGGAGGAGAAAAAGAAGAAGGGTTGACTCTGAATGTCTCTTTCTTACCCCAAAATAAAACCACATGCACAAAGAGTGTGTGTGTGTGTGTTTGAGAGGGAGAGGGGAAGAGAGAGATGGAGACATAATATGTGTGTGTTCGCTTTGATGGAGATGATTAATGAGTCACCTGAAAGGAGGTGTGATTGAGATTGAGATTGAGAGACGAGAGAAGAGGGAGATGTTCGGAAAATAGAGGGTAGTGGAAATGAAATAGGATCGGATAAAACTCAACACCGGTGAGGATATATGTGTGTGTACCATGTACGTAGATGTGTGGGTGAGATCGGAGATGGTGGCTGGCAGGGATGTGAGGGTGTCATCGGCCGATCGGAGATGAGGGAGTACGTTTTACGTGTGTGTATATTATTTTAATAATAAAATACTAATCTAATTTATAACATATTAAATATATTAATATAAATATATGATCTATTTTTAAATTTTAACTACAAAATGGAAAAAAAAAACATAAAAAGACCAAATTACCCCTTGATTTAACGAATTGGAGTTAACAGAGTTAGTGCAAAGGACTTAACTTGGAACGAAATGCAAATGACAGGGACCCCTAGTGTATTTATTTCAAAAAGGGACCATATCCAAATTCTGAGCTAACCGGTGTAATGTACTCTTAATTTTCAAATAAAAAATGGCATTAAAAAAGTCATACCTAATTTCCAACTTGTTTATCTATCACAAACCCATCGCCCCCACGTAATCTCCGACCATCCCCACTTAAAAGGAACTCATAGTGTCGTATAAATTTGAAAACTCTTGTCCCACGAGTTGCTATGTAGAAACATATCACATGAGAAGTTTATCGGTTCTCTAACAATGCTTAATGTTTACATAATCAGTTAATCAATTTAATAGACTGTATACAAAAATAAATAATACAATATATTACTTTTACTGGATTAATTATAATTATGATTAATCAGGTTCTATAATTCTATTCAATCATGTGTAAATTAATTTTCTTTTCAAAATGTGAACATTCAAACATTCTCGATATTTTGGTCAGACGCACTGTTCTTTTTAAAAATCAATACCCTCATTGCCAACTTTTTTTATTTCATATCGTCGTTACAAAAAACGATTTATATAAACTTTTTCTAATACAGTCATTTACCAAAATCTGATAAAAAGTTGAGTTATGTGATCGTTTTGAAAAACAAAGTTCTAATAAAAAAAGTAGCCTAAAATTCTTTAAATCTTTATTTTAAAAGTTTAAAAATTCCAATATACTTTTTGATTTTGACCAATTGAGTTTTTAGTGTATTGTTTTTTTAATAAAGGGTAAATTGCACGAAAAAATAACGTACTTTAAGTTGATTTTTATTTGTGTAATGTACTTTTAAAACTTTCATTTTGGTACCTAAGATATAAAGTTTTAACTTTAACCGGTTATCATACTGATGTGACGAGTGATGAGATGAAATTGAGTTGAATAACAAATAATACTGAGTTGGATATCACATCAGTATGGTAACCGGTTAACATTTCAACCAGTTACCTGGGTACTTAAATGTTTAAAACTTTACATCTTAGGTACCAAAATGGAAGTTTCGAAAGTACGTTACCCAAATAGAAATCATGTTAAAGTACGTTATTTTTCATGCAATTTGCCCTTTAATAAATAAACCCTTTAATTTTCTTAAACCGATTAAATATATCAATTTTGATAAAAAGTAAGGACTTTTAACTGGTTTGGATGGTAAATATGCTTTTAAAGTTAGGAAAAACTAACAGACTTTCCAATTTTAAACAATTAAGTAGCTATTTATTATGCGCTTATCCGATCATTTTCCTTAGCGGATAAACATGACAACGGAAGAATCTTAGCCGGTAAAAACGGCGATAAA